GGAGGGCGACCCGACTCGACCCGACCCGACGCTGTCCTCTCCGCCGGATTCCGTCTCGGATGAGGCCCCGAGATCGAGCGCTCCACCTTGACGCGGCACCACCTACGAGCGATAGAATGAATACTCCGGCGTACTCGCGCCTTTCGCTTCGCCGTATCCTGGTATACAGGGTGTTCTAGAATTATCCGATCGCCGCGATCGGATAATTGAACGCATCTAAAACGTCACACGTGAGGATTTTCTTTGAGAGTCGAGTCTCTTTCTCCGCGAAATTGTCCCTGAAATATCTTTCGATTGAAGCATTCAATGATTATAGAAATGATAATTATGTATGTAATAGATATCATCGAACTATAACATTGATGTTTAATTGATTCGAATCGTCAAAATTTTTGTCTCTCCGATTCCGTTTATACACGACGATGTGTAAGTCGACCCTTGTCAAGCTGTGCGCATTAAAAAGCCCGACGGGATGACTCGTTCTAACGTCCTTCGGCGGGAAAAAAAAGAACACACCGTCGATTAGATTAAGCGTTGCAACGTGCGTTTCTTGCGTCTACGCGCGTGTATGTATAAAATGTCGGATTTGCGCCGCGGTATTTCGCCGGCGCGAGTGAAACGGCGAAAGTCCGCGCGTTGCACCCTCCCGCGTTTGACCGCTGCTTTTTTTTTTTTCCTCGTACCCGTCGGAATGATACGAAAGGTCACGGAACGCTTAGAAGAACTTTCTCTGCGTTTGGTAGTCGTTAGAGACACACTCGCGTGCCAAGCAATACTATATTTACCTCGCCGCGTGCGCAACGCGTTCTCTCCTTTTCCGAACTACGATTTACGCGAAGAATCGATTCGATCCGCTTATCCATGCAGACGAAATATTTCGCGAAATATGATTTCTCGCGACATATAAAGAAAGAGAGAGAGGGAGAGGGCACTTTCTAAAGATCTTCATTTAATTTTGGGAAAATAAATTTCTTGAAAAATCCAAGATTAATCTTTCTGAGCCGAAAATAACAAAGATGTCTAATATTGAAATTGCAAAGTGTGTGGTGGATTAAGATCTAAAAATAAAGATATACAGTTTCCTTTTTCAATTAATTTCTTATTTGCTAATGGAAAGTTAATTCGTATCTTTTTGATCAAGGCACTCACAAAAAAAAAAAAAAATGAGGAATTATAACATACTTTGATGCAATTTTTGTTAAAAAGAAGTAACTCTTATAATTTGAAAAGGAGAATTACTTTCATGGCGTATGAAATACCTTCTATATAATTCATCGTATACATGGAGAATGACGTAAATATTGATTCATTTCAGTATTGGCAATCTCGTTGCGATCATTAACCAATACAATCTCACAATATTACATTTTATTCTGCTAAAAATAAATTACCTGGATTACGTAGTAGTATATAAGACTAAAGACTTACATAAGGAATAACATCACTCGTTACAGCTGACGTAAAAAGAAATCGGGAATACTCTCGCATAGCTGCACGCCCGGGTTCCTACAACGAAAAATCACCTGTGCGTTAACTTAATAAATTAGTTCTCTGGAAATCACTGTACAATGGTATAAAATACATATTATCTAATGCTGCATTATTTAGAAAATATTATCATCTAGAAATGCATCCAATATATAATTATAATATGATTTATATAATTAAATATTATAATATTTTAATATATTACATTATAATAAATTACATTATAATATAATTACAAACCTATCACATTATTAATGCGAATAATTATAGCTATATAAATATAGTTTCAAACTCTATAGATTACTTTTGAATATGCATATTATTTTTAATATGTAAAACAATTCAAACGCTTTGCTCGTTAACATCAAAGTCTGATTGCAACAAAGTTGCGACAAATAGCGATAAAGTTAGTCTCTGTATATGTATGTTTCTTTCTAAAGCTTTTTCCGCCCTAAATATGTAAAAAGACAGAAAGGTTAATCGGTTAACCTCAGATAATGTTAATTTACAGTCGGTGCAAAAGTTGCTCCAATATCTGTGGGAATAATACTTTAATAATTCATAACCGCCTTCCGTCGTCTACGACGCGGTATCATATCGTATTCTAATATATTCATCCCTTCATTCGCGTTCGATGGCGTGCGAGCAAAAGTTTATGGTAGCGATGGCGACGAGTTTATCCGTACATGAGCCATGTCTCTCCGGGTAATCGCTACTCCAGATTGCGCAAGCACCTTGGGCATGATTCTTATCGTGCCGGACTGCAGTGTGTACACTGCACGCGTGTGTACGTACGTGCACGCATTCATACGCCCGTCACGTATCCGTGGCCGGCGTGCAACCAGCGTGCCGGACACGTACACACATAAACATCACAATCCTTATACGCTCGATAAATCTATGCGAC